TAACACTGAGTTCCACGAGAGGTCTTCCCGTAGAACCCATTGCACTCACCACGCTGATCATTGACTCCGTCTGTGTGCTGGTTGTAGTTCCTGCTCCTGCTGCAATGCTGCCAGTTGGGCTGGGAGCTCTACCATTCTGGCCAATCTGAAAGGGACATTCCCGGGCTAAATGTCCAATCCTCCGACAACGAAAACAAGTCAAGCTTCTGGTGGTTGTGGCTCTCATTGCGGCTGCTGCTGCTGCACGACAATCTGAAGTTCGGTGGTGGTGGCTGTGATGGAAGTTGCACCATTGGGTTGGAGCAGGGTGTGATGGCATAACCTCATCTTGCTCAGTTGAAACAGGACAGGAGTACAGTCACGCGAGGTGGACGGTCTGGGTAGTGACGTCTCTCCAAATGGTCACCCACAGGCAAGTCATTCGGAGACTGGTGGCGTGTAGTCGATTCCCTATGCCTTATACCATTTCGGGAATTCTCAGCCTCGGCAAGTCTTGAGGGGGCAGTCTTCTTTAGGGCAAGGAAATCCCTGAGCCAAGGTGGAATCCCAGACAGGAATACACGACGTATCAGCTCTGAGGGGTCACCTATGGCTTCCTTATGGTCCCGGTATCCTTGGTAAACCGAACCCTCCAGCTGTTGGTAGAAGTCCATGGGAGCCTGTCCTGCACTCATTTTGTTCTCATAGAGGACCTTGTAAAAATCGGCTGCTGTATAAGTTCCTCGAAACTTGGTCCGTAATGCTGTTTTGAAGGTGTCCCAGTCTTGCATGTAATCAAAGAGTGGAGAATTGATTATGAGGTCTGCTGGGCCTCGGCAATTTGCACGCGCAGCTTGAATGAAGGCTTCACTTGTTGGTGGTTTTACCAAGTTTTCTATGGAGCATACCCAGCCTTCAATCTCTTTTTCTTCAAGGGGTTTGATGCTGACGTATCCCCTTGAAGTGAGGGATGGATTCCCGCGCGAGGACATAGGACACATTTTGGGCTGTCCCCAGGGGTAAGGTGGATCTCCCAAATGGAGGTTGGCAAAATGGAGGAGCACTCGCATTACCTGAAACATGTTCTCGTGGTACACGTTCTGGCGTAGGTGGTCGGCTACGTGGAAGAGGTTGGGGTAGATCACAGTATGTCCCATGTTCTCGCCTAGAAAGCTGAGGTGCTGGTAACTGGAGGATCTTGCCTGATTCCTCCTCCTTTCTTCCTCAAGCTCCCTTTCCTTTTCTTCAAGCTGTCGTCGTAGCCTGGCAATCTGTCCATCTCTACCTTCATTTCCCGAGGAGTCTTGGACTGAGATTCAGAGCTTCCCTGGGTTGGGCTGACCAGCCATTACATTTTGGTTAGGCACTCCCTCCTGCTGACTGGTCACTTCTGCCTGCTGCTGACTGACTGACCGCTGACCCGATGCCTCTTCTTGCCTAGCAAGCCGCTCGGCGAACTGGTGGGTCTGCGCCTTCACATCCTTCAAGTCCCTAGATAAGGCCTCGATCTTCTCCAGGATTTCCGTAAACAGAGTCATCTCACGGTCCATCACTAGCACGGCTTGCCTTACTTCAGGGTTTGACCCGTGAACGACTGGAGGTTGTTCTGCAGAGGGTCCTGGCACTGGTGACGAAGCACGCGAACTGGGCTGACTCAATGACTGGGCTTTCTTACTCCGAGTAAGTCTCTCTTGCTTTCCGGGCATGGCCTAGACAATGGGCATGATATGCCAATCACACTGAACACAAATGACACTGGG